GTGAGTAAATATACTCCTGAAGGAGTAGCGGATATAGGAAGTTTTGTTGCCAAAATCTCTCTTTTTTCAATCTGCTGCAATTAATATGTCTGCTATTTCAATACATTTCTACTTTAACCAAAAAAGAGAGGCTTTTCTTGTGTTATGAAATGGATACATAGTGCAATATGGTTAGAACGGCGTATGTGTGTATGTTGTATATAGTCTATTTTTGCTCTTTTAGTCTCTTATAGTAAAGTACTCTTTATAAGAAAATAGTAAAACTTCTAACTAGAAGAAATTATAATAATAAAATTATTCTTCTTCTAATTATTCTAAGAGATAATTTTAATAATCTAATAATATAGTCTAGTATTATTATATACTATGCACTGTCTATACTTTTACTTTATATTTTTTCTATTTTAAATAATATAAAAGAAGATAGACTTTTTATTGGTTAATTTAGTAAATTCTTTTTTTTTACCCTATCCCCCCAAAAAAAAAATATCATTTCTTTCAATGAAGAGGAGGTATGTACCTTCTTCTATTTTTTCATCTAGGATCTGAACTTTATAAAATAGGAACTGAACATTATCATTATGGCAAGAAAAAGTTTGATTCAAAGGGAGAAGAAGCGCCAGAAATTGGAACATAAATATTATTGGATTCGTCAATCCTTAAAAAAAGAAATAAGCAAAGTTCCCTCGTTGAGGGAACAATGGAAAATTCATGGAAAATTGCAATCCTCACCACGTAATAGTGCACCAATACGTCTTCATCGACGTTGTTTTTTAACCGGAAGACCTCGAGCGAACTATCGAGACTTTGGACTATCTAGACACATACTTCGAGAAATTGTTCATGCATGTTTGTTACCAGGCGCAACAAGATCAAGTTGGTAAGGAGAAAATCTTGTTTTCTATTTGGATAGATCTCTATGATCTATGATCTATAGAATAGAGGGCCCCTTTACCATTTTGTATAAATAGACTATTCTATTTGTATAGATATGGTAGAGGGGCATATCCAATTTTTCTTCGTCCATCAGTTCCCAGTCGTTCAGCGCGGAGTAGAGCAGTTTGGTAGCTCGCAAGGCTCATAACCTTGAGGAGTTCAAATCCTATCTCCGCAATATTTTTGCTAAATTCCCTTTTATTTTGTATTTGTAGTAATGAATGTTGTGGGGAGGAAAAAAGGTGAAACGGAAGATAGAACTACTAACTACTATATTCACTACTATGCATACTAGTATGCATAGTAGTCAACTGTACCGACGGAATCTTTTTATAGTACATTATTTCACCATGGGCGGATAGCGGGAATCGAACCCGCATCTTCTCCTTGGCAAAGAGAAATTTTACCATTTGACCATATCCGCATTTTCTTCGTTCCTGATACGTATGCATATGTCCACACATATATGACATATATGATATATCACATATGCGTCTGGATCATATTTGCGCAGGGCCAGATAAAAAGACTATAGTAAGTAAAGTAAGATTCCGATTAAGATCAGATTCTTAATTATCTATATCCAATTCATAACAATTGAAATGTAGATATATAGTTTAAATGGTTCCATAAAATCTAAAACCTAAACATAAAATTTCAACTTCCAGAGGAAAATTTTGGGGCATTTCATTTATTCTAGAAATAAAACCTTCTCTTTGACATTTATCACATGATTTTATATATTTACTAACATCTCTAAAATATATAGGCTAATAAAATCCAGATTAGAAAATCTTAAATGTAGTTTTATCAACCCAAAATGTCCCTCAGAACTGATTTATGACATTTTTGCATAATTTCTTGGATTTCTTCTATCAGTACACATCTTCAAATAACTAAGTCCTTGTTGGTCACCAAACATGGTGTTTAAAAATATATTTAATTTATATTATATATATGTTTTAGTAATATATATATATATATATAAAATTTTGAAAAATAATATTTTAATTTTATAAAATACGAGACCAAATCGATCTGATATATGCAAATCTTTAATGATGAAGGTTACCCCTGACTATTCCTTTAATGAACAAACTTCATCCAAGAATGTGTTATCCGATTGAGCTAAGAGAATTTCTAAATCAAGTAGAACCTTGATCAATGTTGCTCTCATCTCCTTTGATAGGATCAGAGCATCGTAAAAGCATAGTTTGGCTGGTAACTTACTAAGATGAGCTAGTACATTATAATCCACTCTATTTGATCCTCTGATTTCTTTCTGGGCATGTGAATCTTCCATTGGCAAAATTGGCTTCTCTTGAGTGACAATTTGTTTTCCTTTTTTTGTTTGATCCATTCTTAGGGTAATACCCTTCCACTCCTTAAATTCACCTCTATTATTTCTTCCTTCATTTGAATCAGACCCAAAGGTGCCTCTCTTAACATTGTGGCTAACTCTTCTGAATTGAAAATGTCCAAGTTGGTTGCAATCGACACTCCTTCACACTCGAATACTGGTTTCTCACTTTCTAAACTATCTTAGCTGGTGGTGTTGATGTCTTCTCCACCATCACTGAAGCTGCCATTTGGCTTTCGTATGACTTGAGGATCATTTTAAGAATCAAAACTGGCTTTAAATTGATTATGGTTTGTTACGTCATCACTAGAGATAATGAAAACGTGGCTGAAATCATACCTCCTAGAATTATAAGATCACGTAGGGATAGAAAGATAATCATACTGAGTCATGAATTTGAGAGGTTTCCCCCTCAAATCTTAAACAAACAATATAACAAGGTTAGCCCCTATTCTGCTCTTTGCCTTATCAGTGTTTGCTTTGTCCACACACTCTTTCTTATTTTTCTCTTGTTGTAGCGACTTCTCTGGTGTAATCGCTAGTACTAGCTCAGCTGGTTGGAGACTATGAGCGGAGGCTTGCACTGAAGCACTCTGAATTTGATCTAGTATCTTCATGAAAGATTTAGTCCAAACCATGGTCCATCCATCCTCAACTACATACAGATTAATCAAAGAGTTTGGCTTGACCGAAATCATATTGATGGAACATCTTTCAGGTTTTTTCAAATATTCTCTTAGAATCATTATATTTTAAAATTTCAAATTCCTCTTAAGCTAATCCTTGAAGCTGAAGTAGCCCTCTATGTTGTGTTTGAGAAATCTGTGGTATGGACAATAGTTGGTGTGATCATTCTTGCCAACTTTCTCTCGTTTCTTGGGCTCAAACAATCTGAATTCAGGCTTCTTGATCAAGTTTTGGAACATCATTGTTTTCGCTTCATCTTTAATGGAATACACTCTATTCAAACGATCTATCATTGATGAACCCTTTATTCCATCTGTTTTGTAGGGTCTTTGCTAAAAAGGCAACTGGCTAGATTGATTGAACTATTAAGACGGCTCAGTCTGAATCTGCATTGGTTGTTTGCCTTTGTCAACTGTTGTTATTGTCCCAGACCTCTTTTCAAATGTCTCACTAGCCTTGTCTTATCTTAAAATTCTATTTATTTAACCTCTTCTTGTAGTTTTCATGAAAGCTATTGGACCGTGGATACTCATGAGTAGGATCTCAATCGCGTGTTGCTCTTGTAATTATGGCTCACACTTCATGCTTAAATTCTTCCAACGTAGAATGTACTCCACCGAAGTCTCAGTGGGCTTCTGGCATTCTACCACAAGATCTCCTTTAGTGACATAGTGCTTAGCTCGGTTAAATAGCTTCACAAATAGATTTTCCTGCTCAACAAATGTCTTGATCGATCCGTTAAAGCTCTAGCCAATTGTTTTGGGACCGGACAATTCGCTTCACTGATCCGAACATACTAAAATAATTTCTAGAAGAACGATCGTATTCCATCTGTCTGGGAAATAATTTTCTCGTGCTCTATTGGAGCCGACTGGTTAGGCATGGGGCTTCAGATCAACTTGAAATACTCCCTTATTCAACATCCATTATGAGAAATTTTGCTTTAATAGAACAAGGCATATCAACTAAATTTAAAAAATAAAAAAACTGAATGTTCACCTGCATATTCGTTTTTTATTAATCTTCTGCTCTACCTCTTTCTCTATTTAGGGGTAATTGATACACCTAAAATATATAACATTTTTGTACACATTTTTATACTTATTTTTGAAGACATTGCACTTTAATGGAAGGTATTTATATTTTTTTCTTTCAGGTACGATTAAATAGATGAAATATGGTGAAAGGAGTGAAAAAGGACCAAATTTAGAGCTATAATTAAAAAGGTGTGAAAATGAACTATGGCACTTAAGCGCCCAAAACTAACTCTTAAACACCAACAGACAGAGAAGGTCGTGTCTAAACACTGAAGACATTGAACTTATGCACCAGGTAGTTATGATGAATATTCAAGGAATTTTGGATGAATTTTGAAAGGGTATTTAAAGCAAGTCTTGTTGAAATCATGGATGAATGTTAATGGGCACAAAAATTCATTGAAATGGCTCTCAGAAAAAGGCAACTCTTGGAATATTCATTGAATGAGGGCACATTTTGAAGAGACACCAAATCACCTTTTGGAAAACTTTAAAAAGGAAGACTTAGATTGAATTAAGAGAGATATAAGACTTAGGACACTTTTAGAAAGACGAAAGTAGGGAGTTGATGGATCTTATTTAAGGCTTCTTCTCACTTTTCTCATTCCAAGTGAAAGAGAAAGTGATTAGATACTTCTAAGTAAGAATCCATTGTAGATTGTTAGTGAAATATAGAGATTTTAGCCCACTAGGGTTGGGCAACCATACCTAGGAAGGATTATAAGAGAAAAGAAGCGATTCAAAGGAATTTCAATAGTTTGGTGGAGAGGAATTTGAGATAAGTTTTTATCTTTGTGACTACATTTCGTCTTAATTTAGACTTTTTTGTGTTTTTACATTTTCTACTTTTAAACTAAATTGTTGTTGTATTTTATCAATGATTCTTGAGTATTTTTCTTTATCTTTTTCTTTAAAATGATAAGTAATTAAGTTTTGGATAGAAGTTGTGTGAAATATTGAATTGTAATGCTAGAATAAGCTGTGATGATTTAATTCTTGTACTGCATGTACTTCTTGATTTGGCCAATTAAGATGTTAATATTCGTTGTGAGAACATGTAAGATCCGTGATGGTATTATCTCAGTCAAGTAATGGTAGAATCATATAAGATTATATGGATGAGAATGTAGCTTATATGGTTGACTGCTAATAAATAAGGAAATAAACTTTGAAGGTTATAGAGTTTGAGGACTTTAGAGTGACAGAATAAAGCCCCCAATTTGGTCTAATGTTTTAGGTCTTGATACGAGAGGTAAGCCCCCAGGTGGAGGGAGAAGAGGGAACTCTAAAGTGAGAGCTATTTTCTTCCCTACCTAGCACGTCTTCAGGACTATTCAAAGTTTAGATTAGCCAATGCTCTTTATAACATCTCTAGTAAGAGTAAAGAATAATATTGCTCTTATTTTTCACAACACAATTTAAATACTTCAACAACAGAATTTCTATACTTGATACTGATTCATAATAAGGGAAAAATATTTTATTTGTAATTCTTTTATCTTACAAAAATCTAGTTAAATTTAGTTAGTTGTTTAATTTATTTTCAATTATCAAAATTACCAAAAAAAATTGAGTTTTCATTACTACCATATTATCTATAGTTTGAGTAAGTCTCTTTTTCAAAGTAGAGTTTGTTATCTAATTTTTTTCTTAAGAGTATGTAGTTCTCCCAGCGGGTTCGATATTTTGAGGCATAATAAAAAAATCCTATATTACTTGATAACTATACGTATATTTGTGTAGTATCCCAATATTTAAATACAACAGTTGCACTCTAACTTGCCTCGGAGTCAAGTATTTGACACTGCTATTAAGAAAGAAATAAAAATAAAGAGAATTGAGAATCTAACTACACATATATTGTAGTACTCTCGTACCAGATAGGGATCAAGTTTTTGGCTTCTGTTGTCAGGAAAGTTACATCTAGTTCTTAGCGGTGGAGTTAGAATCAGAAATATATAAAACAAAAGAACACACTGTTTTTGGTACCGTTGCCAAGGAGAAAACAAAAATTTTAGTACAATTTTAAAGGAATTTTAGGAAAACAAATTTCTATTTTTAGAAAGCATTATTTAAACATTTAGATTTATTATACGAATAACGCAGTGTTGTTTTATATAAGTTCTTTTTTGTGTGATTTTATTTTATCTTGTAGTAATGTATACATAGTTCTGGTTCTAAAGGACTAGTGCCCTACAATTTTAAATTAGAAAGAACTATTAAAAAGTCAAAAAAATAAAAATACTAAAAAAGTTCAAAATATTCGAGAAATGACGAACAAAAATAATCAAAATGCGGAAATTCATCAAGAATTTAGACCTTTTAGAGATTATGAAAACC